CCGAAAGTTATCCCCTTCTACCCCAAAGTTTTTGCTATCACTCCAGGGCTTGAAACCAACAGACTAGCCGGGACACATGGACAACAACATCTAGGTCCTAACCCCCAGAATGTCAAAGTGTTTTCTTAGGGCTTATGCATACAGACTGTAAAAAGTTCAATCTCAACCTGTTTTCCCCCAAAACAGTCAGTGTGGAGCCCTGTATCATACATTGACAAAGTCAAGATAAAGTGTTACCACTGGGACACTGTCTTACTCTACCGATACCATAGCAACTAGACTTCATACTTCGATTGCTTCTCTGGAATTTCAGGATCATCCTTTGGAACTCTTGACTGAGTAGAAGGAGCTTGCCTCTTGTAAGGCCTGCTCTGACTGCTGCTTCCCTCTCTGTGTGTCTGAGAAAATTAACATGGAGTATATGATGTATTGCCAACATGCTGAGGGTGGTCTGATGAAGGTAATGTCCAACTTGGATAGTGTACATCACCCATGGGTTGCTGTTGAGGGTGGTCTGATGGTGATAATGTCCTTCTTAGATAGTGTACATCACCCATGGGTTGCTGTTGAGGGTGGTCTGATGGTGGTAATGTCCTTCTTAGATAGTGTACATCACCCATGGGTTGCAGTTGAGGTTGGTCTGATGGTGGTAATGTCCTTCTTGGATAGTGTACATCACCCATGGGTTGCTGTTGAGGGTGGACTGATGATAATAATGTTCTTCTTAGATAGTGTACATCACCCATGGGTTGCTGTTGAGGTTGGTCTGATGGTGGTAATGTCCTTCTTAGATAGTGTACATCACCCATGGGTTGCAGTTGAGGTTGGTCTGATGGTGGTAATATCCTTCTTGGATAGTGTACATCACCCATGGGTTGCTGTTGAGGTTGGTCTGATGGTGGTAATGTCCTTCTTGGATAGTGTACATCACCCATGGGTTGCTGTTGAGGTTGGTCTGATGGTGGTAATGTCCTTCTTTGATAGTGTACATCACCCATGGGTTGCTGTTGAGGGTGGTATGATGGTGTTAATGTCCTTCTTTGAGAGTGTACATCACCCATGGGTTGGTGTTGAGAGTGGTCTGATGGTGTTAATGTCCTTCTTTGAAAGTGTACATCACCCATGGGTTGCTGTTGAGGGTGGTATGATGGTGTTAATGTCCTTCTTTGAGAGTGTACATCACCCATGGGTTGCTGTTGAGGGTGGTTTGATGGTGTTAGTGTCCTTCTTGGATACTGAACATCACCCATGAGTTGCTGTTGATTCTGGTCTGATAGTGGTAATGTCCTTCTTGGATAGCGTACATTACCCATGGGTTGCTGTTGAGGGTGGTATGATGGTGTAAATGTCCTTCTTGGATAGTGTACATCACTCAAGGATTGCTGTTGAGGGTGGTATGATGGTGTAAAAGTCCTTCTTGGATAGTGTACATCACCCATGGGTTGCTGTTGAGGTTGGTCTGGTGGTGGTAACGTCCTTCTTGGATAGTGTACATCACCCATGGGTTGGTGCTGAGAGTGGTCTGATGGTGTTAATGTCCTTCTTTGAAAGTGTACATCACCCATGGGTTGCTGTTGAGGGTGGTATGATGGTGTTAATGTCCTTCTTTGAGAGTGTACATCACCCATGGGTTGCTGTTGAGGGTGGTTTGATGGTGTTAGTGTCCTTCTTGGATACTGAACATCACCCATGAGTTGCTGTTGATTCTGGTCTGATAGTGGTAATGTCCTTCTTGGATAGCGTACATTACCCATGGGTTGCTGTTGAGGGTGGTATGATGGTGGTAATGTCCTTCTTAGATAGTGTACATCACCCATGGGTTGCAGTTGAGGTTGGTCTGATGGTGGTAATGTCCTTCTTGGATAGTGTACATCACCCATGGGTTGCTGTTGAGGGTGGACTGATGATAATAATGTTCTTCTTAGATAGTGTACATCACCCATGGGTTGCTGTTGAGGTTGGTCTGATGGTGGTAATGTCCTTCTTAGATAGTGTACATCACCCATGGGTTGCAGTTGAGGTTGGTCTGATGGTGGTAATATCCTTCTTGGATAGTGTACATCACCCATGGGTTGCTGTTCAGAGTGGTCTGATAGTGGCAATGTCATTCTTGGATAGTGTACATCACTCATGGGTTGCTGTTGAGGGTGGTATGATGGTGGTAATGTCCTTCTTTGAGAGTGTACATCACCCATGGGTTGCTGTTGAGGGTGGTATGATGGTGTTAATGTCCTTCTTTGAGAGTGTACTTCACCCATGGGTTGCTGTTGAGGGTGGTATGATGGTGGTAATGTCCTTCTTTGAGAGTGTACATCACCCATGGGTTGCTGTTGAGGGTGGTATGATGGTGGTAATGTCCTTCTTGGATAGTGTACATCACTCATGGGTTGCTGTTGAGGGTGGTATGTTGGTGGAAATATCCTTCTTGGATAGTGTACATCACCCATGGGTTGCTGTTGAGGTTGGTCTGGTGGTGGTAACGTCCTTCTTGGATAATGTACATCAACAATGGGTTGCTGTTGAGGGTGGTCTCTACCAGTATTGCTTGTACTTTGGATTGGGAACGAAAAGTTGGTGGAATGTGATACCTGATTTAAAGAACCTGGTCTACTTGTTCTTTCCCATACAATTGGTGGATAATGGGAAGCTGAATGAAATCCTGTAGTGGAGCGATATTGACTATGCTGAGATTGGCTAGTTCCTGACCGCTCTACAATCATTGGTTGAAATGGTGCATCTGAAATGTGCAATCTCGACATGGCAGGTTGATGATATCCAGAGACTGGAGGGTTACACAACAGAGCAGAGCTGGGCATAGACGCATGGTAGGATCGAGTGTAGTGATCCTGACTTGACAAAGGTATGTTGGTATGTGTAGCACCTGTGCTCCCATGAACCGGTGGTTGATACTGTGTTGGTGAAAGGTACCCTGCGAACAGGGTAGATTGATGATGCCTCGAGACTAGAGGGTCAGGAGACGGAGCAGAACTTGACATAGTGGGATGGTAGGTAGGATTGTAGTAGCCTCTCTATACTCAAGACTGCAACAATAACCACTGAATGGCTCATTTGGAGCAGGGGTGTTGTACCCAGCAAACATGCCTGATTGGAGATTGGAAGGCATAAATTGGGGCTGACCAGGCCCAGCATTCCAAGGTAGGACATTATTCTCTGAATATTCTCAATGTATGTGGCTGTTGTAAAGGTTTCCCCACAATGACATTTTCCTGAGAGTCTTGCAAGACTGGAATATTAGCACCTAACCCCCTTGGTAGGGTGTCTGGGGTAGCACTGGTGTTGGCATCAGCTGAGTTGTCTGATTCATTTGAGCAGCTTCTTAATGGATAGATTGACCTGAAATAAGGTTGATAAGGACTGTAAGGAATGATGGGAAACTGAGTAACGTTTGAGTTGGCCAAGTCGGCTGAGCTATATAGGAAACAGATTTTGTCTTACTATCTGTTGCAAGATGAACTAGATGGAATTCGACTGCGCGCAGTCGAAAATGATGCCTCCGTTATAGAGCAATTTTACAAACCAAAACAGAAGAAAAAAATTGAATTCACGTTCAATGGTAATCCATTGACAGGTTCTCAGAATATTGTGATTACAAGCAATTTCTCATATACATATATGACCCTTTGATCTTTGACCTCATGACCATAAAATCTACTCAGTTCATTGGCTCTGCAAGATGTTCTGAGTTAAATAGTAATCCATCTGTCAGTTCTAATGAGAATGCGTTCACAAGCTATTTTTGCATACATAATGGGCCCATGACCTTTGACCTTTGACCTTATGAACCAAGAATCTATTCAGTTCATTGGCTCTGCAAGTAACAAACATGACCTAATTTTGGCATGAATCCATCAATCGGTTCTTGAGATAACGCGATCACAAGCTGTTTTTGCATTCATAATGTGCGCTGTGGCCTTTGACCTTTGACCTACGTGCTCCAAAATCTAATCAGATTGTCTTCCTATGGTGATACACACTATCATTAAGTTTAAAGTTTTTACATCTCCAGTGGTTCTTGAGATATGATAACAATCTCAATGTATGGAATTTCATAAGTTGACCTCTATGACCCTTGACCTTTGACCTACATGCTCCAAAATCTAATCAGATTGTTTTCCTATAGTGATACACACTATCACTAAGTTTGAAGTTTAAATCTCCAGTGGTTCTTGAGATATCATGATAACAATCTCAATGTATGGAATTTCATAAGTTGACCTCTGTGACCCTTGACCTTTGACATACGTGCTCCAAAATCTAATCAGATTGTTTTCCTATAGTGATACACACTATCACTAAGTTTGAAGTTTAAATCTCCAGTGGTTCTTGAGATATCATGATAACAATCTCAATGTATGGAATTTCATAAGTTGACCTCTGTGACCCTTGACCTTTGACATACGTGCTCCAAAATCTAATCAGATCGTCTTCCTATGGTGATACATACTATCCTTAAGTTTGAAGTTTAAATCTCAAATGGTTCTTGAGATATCACGCTAACAAACTCAATACAAGGAATTTCATAAGTTGACCTCTGTGACCTGTGACCTTTGACCTACGTACTCCAAAATCTAATCAGATCGTCTTCCTATGGTGATAAATACTATTCCCGAGTCTTAAGTTTAAATCTTAAATGGTTCTTGAGATATTGTGATAACGGTCAAACGGGACGGACGTACGGACGGACGTACGGACGGACGGACGGACGTACGGACGGACGGACGGACGGACGGACGGACGGACGGACGTACGGACGGACAACCCGAAAACATGATGCCTCCGGCACCACCTTCGGTGGCGGAGGCATAAAAATAAAAAATCAACTACTCTTGGTCTTATTGAAAGTACTAGTCTCAAGAAACATTTTGATCAGTGACTGGAGAAGAAGAAATACATATAAGAGACTACAGCCCCCCCCCCAAAAAAAATACATATGTATACAGTATATATATATATATACTAGTATATATAAAGGTAGAGGACACACAAATTAAACAAAATTTAGGTTGACTGATTCCACTTTAGAGTAGGGAATCTGTTCAATAAAGCCGTTACTGAATATTCAGTACTGTAAGACAAGAAATCTTTATTTTTTTAAAAAGGTAAACAGTGTCATTATTGCATGCTCCCTGAAGAGGTATCAGCATTGTAGCTTTTCTTAGTATTCCATTAGAGGCTCATTATATTGTTAATATATCGCACTATTCATGATGGGGATATACATGCCGTTACCTGATTTTTGTTTTGTTATCACATATACTGTACTGACCTTTGCAAACATGTGAGGGTGTCAAGAAATGAGTTCAAGTCATCTTGAGCATCTCCATTGAGCCTGAAGTTTCCCTTCCTGATCTGAGGAAAACAACCCTGTAACATATAATAGCAACATTGCTTGTAAGCTTGGAGAATTAAAAAAAGCTAGAGTAAGACAAATTTTGCACAAGAGATTTACATTAGTACTAGAAGTAGTATCCACTGTATCAGTAGTAGTGGAATATGGTATTGGTGAAAAGTAAATCAAAATCAACTACCCGTTAGACAAATCTTTATATTTTTTCTCATACTATTAGGGGATCAGAGAACAACAGAGAACAGAAGAGCATTACTTGTACGATTTAACCCTAAAAGGGATTTGGTTGGTGGAAGCTGCCTACTTTCTTGTAAGTAATGTGTTTGAGAATAATTTATTTCCAAGATCTGTCCTGACTTAATAGCCTAAAATCTTGTGCATCTTTGATTCTAAATGTATAGAATTTAACCATAGGTTACTGCACAGCATCAAGAATGTTTGCACTGTGCACAGCCAAAATAGACATTTACCCATATGTAATGTACACAATGCAGAATAAACAAGATGAATGTGACTTCATATCTAATATGACTCCCCCTACATTTATGTTCAATGATCAATGATCCTGTGACCTTTAACATCTGACCTCACAAACCTAAACCTAATATTTTCATGCTCTCAAATACCTGAGCCTTGTTTGGTTGAAACTGATTACTTTTGTTCATTTTTAGACTAATAAGGTATTTTGGGGGATTTGTAACAGTTCATCATTCACCTTTGATCTTTTACAGGCACTCAAAATCTAATCAGTTCATCCTTACAGCCAGGTATATACGTATGTAATGAAATGGCTTTGAAGCTTTTGTTTGATGTCTGCCTGACTCGCATGACTGGTTCCCTGACATAGCAACCAGGCATGCAGTCAGGAAGTAGATTGTATTAAAATGACTTTGTCGTTTTTGTTTGCTGTACGTCTGTCTGACTTGCATACCTGGTTGCGTCTTATTTTTTTGTAAGCAAGGTAGCCCAGCTTGCGAAGGAAACCTGAACATGCGCACTCGGGAAGGATACCTGCACATGCGCACATGGTAACCGTTAGGCCAAATAAAAAAAAAACATGTTTAGCGTCCTGTTTTTTTGAAAAATAAGAAACAGGAGGCCCTTTTTTTTTTCTTTCAAAATGGCCGCTCAAAATGGCCACTCGGTACATTTTCCCTGACAGTCAGGCTATTTTTCAAGATGGCCGCCGACAATTTTTAATGATATTTTTTAATCAGAAATAGATCCATTTTAGCAGTGCTTTTCATGTTTTGTTTTGTTTTTTGTTTTTAATTAAAAAAAAAAAAAAAAAAAAAAAAAAAAAAAAAAAATAGGAGGCGACCACCAAAAGGAAACGGGCGGGGACGCTAAACATGTATATTTTTCGTAATGGCCTTAGGGTTAGTGATAGGGTTATAATAATCATGCAAACCCACCTTTCATCAACCCATCGTTAGCTCAATTGGTAGGTACAGGGTCATAAAACATTGGAGTTGTGGGTTCGAATCTCAGTTTTTATTCAGTTTTATTTATTGCCTTTATAAATAGTGAGTCAAAGCAATAAATAATCAAAGTATAATTGTTTGTGATCTCTTTCTAAGCTTTCGTAGCTTGTTATTGACAAGATTGACAAGATGTACGAAAATGAATTCATACTGGAATCTCGGCTCGCTTGGTTACCCCAAAACAAGATGCTACCTGGTTGCCTGACATAGCAACTAGGCATGCAGTCAGGTGATAGATTGCTTTATCGTACCTATGTGATGCAAATGTTTTGTACTCGTGCACTATGCGTCTGGATTAACATGCCAGAAGAAAGGATAAAAGGGCGCCTGGTGTATTGGCACGAGGCAGATAGACTAGGGCCTGTAGAGATGAGATGTACCAGTAGGGAGTGGCAAGATTGGCAATAGATTATATTTTGTTTGATATTTTGCTTGGACATTAACAAAGCAGGATTTCAAACTGTATACACTTGAGCCTGCGTTCTTATTTTCTGGTTTCACTACAAGTACTTGAGCCAATATTAGTTTAACCCCTAATCAGGCAGGGGGCCATAATGCCGCCCCCTCCCCCTCCCCCCCCCAGAGTTTTTGCGCTGCGTCTTTACCACTTGAACTACTTTATTTTTTCTTTCAAGTCTCCCGCACATTTTGATTCCAAATTTGTGCAATCCGGACCTACAGTAGGGGTGTCAAATGACAATTATTGATCACATGTCAATCAAAATGTGCATTTTCTCTATTTGCTAGTATGTTAGCCTATTGAAGTATCGATGATCATTTCAAAATCAGTTGATCTTTGTCGTTGTTAAGAAGGTTTACACTCCTATTCCACTAAGTGAAACCTATCTTGGGTTCATGCAACAAAAGAAAACATAGAATATGATAAACAAGATAAGAAATAGTTGGTGCTATATCTTACACAAGAAATAGTATATTGTCTTTTTCATCCTTTATTATTGGCCAATTTCCATATTCATGACAACTGAACTACTGTAATGTATTTTACTTAACTTCTGTTTTAAACAAACCATGTAGTTCATCAGTTGGAGTTTTAAATATATAAAGCAACTAATTTTTCAACCATTTTACACTGTAAAACTGCAAAGTAGGTGTGTTAAGAAAAATTTGGAAAAAATTTGCATATTACATAAGAAATAAATAAATTTATAAGAAATGAAATTGAAAAACTATTGTTGTCTTGTTGTTCATTATACTTTATTCAATATGTGTACCAACTTTCATCTTCATAGAGCCAACCATAGCCGATATCTTAGGGGTGTAATAATCCCCCCCCCCCCCCCCCCCGTATTAGAAACCCTTGAAATACCCCGGGCTCATTAGGGTTAAAGTGTTTATATATCAATACATTTATGTGATTTTCACAACTTCTTAGCCCTGTAACCTTTGACTTTTCACATCTCACCCCAAAATCTAATCCCTTGATCCTTGGCCGATTCTTTGCTGAATGTGTCCTTTTCTGTCCATGTGCTTACATACCACATAGATGAGGGGGAGGGGTGTATGTGGAGGGGGTTCCCACGGAAGGCACTATTTTAATTAGATTTACTTAAATTGTGATTTAGCGCAATGAACAAAATAGGAATTGAACGTTACCTTTTTAAATAATTAAACAAAATAGGATTGACAGGAGGAGCATCCTTCAAAATGAAGGGCACTAACAACAAAAAAAGGACAAGGTGGACTGGGTAACCGGGTCCTGCCCGAGAGCCTCGGGTCCAGGGTCAAAACATTAGGTACATGTTTCCCGAAATTGGATGGCGATGAAAAATAAGCCCCTTAAAATTTATGTTTGTCAGCAATGAAATAAATCGACACAAGAGTACCTTGGCACAGATTGGTATATTATTCCATTTGATATTATGTTCATAATATATGTGTTTGGCAATGTTAAGTACTAATATCATGCTTCTAAATGTTGAAATCTGATATAAAATTAGAATTAGAATATGCGAGCCACCATTCTGATTTATTCAGGATAAAGGAATCATGCTAAAAAACAATGTTGGAATTACAAAAAAGGCTTTCTGAAAATTCTTCTTCTAATCAAATACATTTTTAAAGACTATTTGTTTTCTTCTTATTCTAAACAATGCATGCTTCTTTGAATAGCTGATGTAATCATAACAAGTTCCATTATTTATCACTGTTGCTAGGCAAGTTTGGATTAGTCACGAAAGGAACTCTTGTACACTGCATTAGCTGTAATCAGAGCTGCCAACCTCCAGAACAGAAAATCAGTAATTTTAGGAATAAATCAATAATTTCCTATGCTGCGCTATTAATCTTAAAAAATGGCACTACAACACTCCATGGCCGCCAAGAACGAAAATAAAATGCTGTAAAACTAATACCTAGCCTTTTGGGGGGTGATTTTAGTCACACAATATTGCTAAACATTCAATTTTTAAGTCATCACAACACATCTCACGGAGATGGCGCTGCTCACATTTTTTTTTGTTTTTTGTGTGTGGTCGTGTTTTCCGTAATTTTAGACAACATTCCATACTTGGGTAATGATTGTTAATTTCTGTACCAATTAAGGGAAATCTGTACTAGTTGGCAGCTCTGCGTAATATGTGCCAAAACAAACCGTAACAAATATACCGGATCGTACTAAGATATCTTTCAAAATTATGAAAACACATCGGAAAAGACAACTACTCCAAATGATTGTAAGCAGATAGTCTTCCTTGAAATGCCACAGAAATAGTTATATTCAAGGAGTTACTGGGTACATTTTTAATGAAATGCTCATCTATTGCTTAATAGTGCTAATCACTAAGCTCGAATCTATTGCTTTACTTATTTTTACCGCAGAGGGCAGTAGAGTGGATTCTCGCATAGTGATCAATATGAACAGTACATGTGTAAGAACCTCTCACCAAGCCCATTCCGATACTAAATCTATCAACTAACTCCTGAAATATCACTATTTCTGTGACATTTCTTGGACAACTATTGAATTCATGTACCTGCATGTTTACACAAATTTTGAGGGGTTGTCTTTTTCATTATGCTTTCATATTTTTGAAAGATATCTCGGTACGATCACATTTTTATTTAGGTTTGCAACAGCAATGAGTATCGAAACTTATTGTGATTACTTAGCAAAGATATAAGGTTTTAAAAGAAATTCAAGGTATTTAGACTAAAAGACGTAAAAGCACTAAACAATGCCAAACATGGATGAAAATAGCTTTATATGAGATATATTCTGACATTAGCCTATCGGTAGGTATTCATGCTATGTATATTCAAAGGTATTTGGCTGCTACAATGAAATGTCAGCATAGTAATGGGAACATTTAGATCTAACAACAGAAGTAGATCTAGCAATTGTTTTCTGTTGTATCATTTTCACGTTAAAAAACACATATATACATATGCAGCATGTAACTATTATCGCTGTTTCTCTCTTTCAATGACCCTCCATGACATTAACATAGGGACACACATACCTGTATGGATAATGCCTTTGCTTTCAATGCAGAGTAAAACTCCACAGTGAATGTCTCTCCAGTGAATGGCTCTCCAGTGAGTGTCAGGTCAGTCAGGTTTGGCAAAGAACACAGTGCTTCTGCTAGGTGATGTGATGAGGCTGGTGTTAGACACTGGAGACTATGAAGCCAGAGAGTCTGGACCTGCATTGTTTGACAATACAGTTAAGCAGCAAATCTATACATGCATTTGTTTTATTTACAAGTACTAATTTCTCATTGCATTCTTATAACTATCACCTAGGATATATATAACACAGCTCTATTCATATTTACATTCTTAACCTTAAGATAACTAAATAGATTTTTTTTTAAATCAATTCTTGTATATTTAAACATTCAAGTTTCCATCAGGGGGATGATTAAGTTATTTATTCTTTCATAAAATATCCTTTATCTGTTTGCATTGATACGTCCTACTCCTAACAACACTCAAATAAATAATACCCAGAAATCTGCATTTGATATTAAAGGCATCGTTTAGCAACGTTAAATCTTAGATGAATGGCCCTACGTGTCATCAATGTCTGTGATATGGTGTAATATGAAGCCCTAAAAAAAATTGCGCTTCCAAATGATCATGAAGTGCCTCAAAAAAGTAAAAATCGTGGAGTGACCGGTTTTACCATACTCGTTTTTCCAAAATAGACTGTAGTGTTATCAAAGCTGTAAGGAAAACGCAATATTTGATTTTGATTTCCAATCATAAATATCTTGATAATCTAACAAGCGATCAGGTTGTAAAAGTCATAGGGTTCCTGACTGACCTAAAGGTTTATAATTATAATTGCATCATGCGCTAAATCTAGGATTTTGTTTCAGAATCTGATACAAAGTTACCCAATCCCTTTAACCTAGTGAAGGTATTCCTAACTCTGGTTTCATGTCACAAGAAAGCTAAGTCAAAAGGATGTGGTAATTGTACAGTTTTGGTAAATTTAAGCCTTTATCAAAATTAGAAAACAGTCAAATAATGATCAGTGATCAAAATAATATTAATCTAATACACAATGGAATTTCAACTATCTATGCTCTTCTATAGTTTGCTTTCATTCCATTTTTCATGACTATTTAGACATTTAGGGTAAATGGATTATAATTTTTAAAAAAAAGGTATTTGGAATTTAAAAAGACATCTATAGATAAACATCAGTTGATCAATACTACTCTTTCTTTTTTCAATGACCCTTTCCATGACATTTACATTAGGACAAACATACCTGTATGGATGATGCCTTTGCTTTCAATGCAGAGTAGAACTCCTCAGTGAATGACTTTCCAGTGAATGCCTCTCCAGTGAGTGTCAGGTCAGTCAGGTTTGGCAAAGAACACAGTGCTTCTGCTAGTTGGTGTGATGAGGCTGGTGTGGGACACTGGAGACTATGAAGCCAGAGAGTCTGGACCTGCATTGTTTGACAATACAGTTAAGCAGCAAATCTATACATGCATTTGTTTTATTTACAAGTACTAATTTCTCATTGCATTCTTATAACTATCACCTAGGATATATATAACACAGCTCTATTCATATTTACATTCTTAACCTTAAGATAACTAAATAGATTTTTTTTAAAATCAATTCTTGTATATTTAAACATTCAAGTTTCCATCAGGGGGATGATTAAGTTATTTATTCTTTCATAAAATATCCTTTATCTGTTTGCATTGATACGTCCTACTCCTAACAACACTCAAATAAATAATACCCAGAAATCTGCATTTGATATTAAAGGCATCGTTTAACAACGTTAAATCTTAGATGAATGGCCCTACGTGTCATCAATGTCTGTGATATGGTGTAATATGAAGCCCTAAAAAAAATTGCGCTTCCAAATGATCATGAAGTGCCTCAAAAAAGTAAAAATCGTGGAGTGACCGGTTTTACCATACTCGTTTTTCCAAAATAGACTGTAGTGTTATCAAAGCTGTAAGGAAAACGCAATATTTGATTTTGATTTCCAATCATAAATATCTTGATAATCTAACAAGCGATCAGGTTGTAAAAGTCATAGGGTTCCTGACTGACCTAAAGGTTTATAATTATAATTGCATCATGCGCTAAATCTAGGATTTTGTTTCAGAATCTGATACAAAGTTACCCAATCCCTTTAACCTAGTGAAGGTATTCCTAACTCTGGTTTCATGTCACAAGAAAGCTAAGTCAAAAGGATGTGGTAATTGTACAGTTTTGGTAAATTTAAGCCTTTATCAAAATTAGAAACAGTCAAATAATGATCAGTGATCAAAATAATATTAATCTAATACACAATGGAATTTCAACTATCTATGCTCTTCTATAGTTTGCTTTCATTCCATTTTTCATGACTATTTAGACATTTAGGGTAAATGGATTATAATTTTTAAAAAAAAGGTATTTGGAATTTAAAAAGACATCTATAGATAAACATCATTTGATCAATACTACTCTTTCTTTTTTCAATGACCCTTTCCATGACATTTACATTAGGACAAACATACCTGTATGGATGATGCCTTTGCTTTCAATGCAGAGTAGAACTCCTCAGTGAATGACTCTCCAGTGAATGCCTCTCCAGTGAGTGTCAGGTCAGTCAGGTTTGGCAAAGAACACAGTGCTTCTGCTAGTTGGTGTGATGAGGCTGGTGTGGGACACTGGAGACTATGAAGCCCGAGAGTCTGGACCTGCATTGTTTGACAATACAGTTAAGCAGCAAATCTATACATGCATTTGTTTAATTTACAAGTACTAATTTCTCATTGCATTCTTATAACTATCACCTAGGATATGTATAACACAGCTCTATTCATATTTACATTCTTAACCTTAAGATAACTAAACAGATTTTGTTTTAAATCTTGTTTATTCAAACATTCAAGTTTCCTTCAGTAGGATGATTAAGTTATTTATCCTTTCATAAAATATCCTATATCTGTTTGCATTGATACGTCCTATTCCTAACAACACTGAAATAAATAATACCCAGAAATCTGCATTTGTTAATAAAGGCATCGTTTAACAACGTTAAATCTTAGATGATTGGCCCTACGTGTCATCAGTGTCTGTGATATGGTGTAATATGAAGCCCTAAAAAAAATTGCGTTTCCAAATGATCATGAAGTGCCTCAAAAAAGTAAAAATCATGGAGTGACCGGTTTTACCATACTCGTTTTCCTAAATAGACTGTAGTGTTATGAAAACCGTTAGGAAAACGCAAAATTTGATTTTGATTTCCAATCATAAATATCTTGATAATCTAACAAGCGATCGGCTTGTAAAAGTCATAGGGTTCCTGACTGACCTAAAGGTTTATTATTATAATTGCAGCATGCGTTAAATCTAGGATTTTGTTTCAGAATTTGAGACAAAGTTACCCAATCCCTTTAACATAGTAAAGGTATTGATAACTCTGGTTTCATGTCACAAGAAAGCTAAGTCAAAAGGATGTGGTAATTGTACAGTTTTGGTAAATTCAAACCTTTATCGAAATTAGAAACGGTTGGATATTGATTAGTGATCAAAATGATATTAATCTAATACACAATGGAATTTCAACTATCTATGCTCTTCTATAGTTTGCTTTCATTCCATATTTCATGACTATTTAGACATTTTGGGTAAATTGATTATAATTTTTTTTTTAAAGGTATTTGGAATTTTAAAAAGACATGTATAGATAAACATCATTTGATCAATACTTCTCTTTCTTTTTTCAATAACCCTTTCTATGACATTTACATTAGGACAAACATACCTGTATGGATGATGCCTTTGCTTTCAATGCAGAGTAGAACTCCTCATTGAATACCTCTCCAGTGTATGCCTCTCTAGCGAGTGTCAGGTCAGTCAGGTTTGGCATAGAACACAGTACTTTTACTAGGTAATGTGCTGAGGCTGGTGTGGGACACTGGAGACCATGAAGCCCGAGAGTCTGGACCTGCATTGTTTGACAATACAGTTAAGCAGCAAATCTATACATGCATTTGTTTTATTTAAAAGTACTAATTTCTCATTGCATTCTTATAACTATCACCTAGGATATATATAACACAGCTCTATTCATATTTACATTCTTAACCTTAAGATAACTAAATAGATTTTATTTTAAATCAATTCTTGTATATTTAAACATTCAAGTTTCCTTCAGTAGGATGATTAAGTTATTTATTCTTTCATAAAATATCCTTTATCTGTTTGCATTGATACGTCCTACTCCTAACAACACTCAAATAAATAATACCCAGAAATCTGCATTTGTTACTAAAGGCATCGTTTAACAACGTTAAATCTTGGATGAATGGCCCTACGTGTCATCGATGTCTGTGATATGGTGTAATATGAAGCCCTAAAAAAAATTGCGCTTCGAAATGATCATGAAGTGCCTCAAAAAAGTAAAAATCGTGGAGTGACCGGTTTTACCATACTCGTTTTTCCAAAATAGACTGTAGTGTTATCAAAACTGTAAGGAAAATGCAATATTTGATTTTGATTTCCAATCATAAATATCTTGATAATCTAACAAGCGATCAGGTTGTAAAAGTCATAGGGTTCCTGACTGACCTAAAGGTTTATAATTATAATTGCATCATGCGCTAAATCTAGGATTTTGTTTCAGAATCTGATACAAAGTTACCCAATCCCTTTAACCTAGTGAAGGTATTCCTAACTCTGGTTTCATGTCACAAGAAAGCTAAGTCAAAAGGATGTGGTAATTGTACAGTTTTGGTAAATTTAAGTCTTTATCAAAATTAGAAACAGTCAAATAATGATCAGTGATCAAAATAATATTAATCTAATACACAATGGAATTTCAACTATCTATGCTCTTCTATAGTTTGCTTTCATTCCATTTTTCATGACTATTTAGACATTTAGGGTAAATGGATTATAATTTTTTTTTTAAAGGTATTTGGAATTTAAAAAGACATGTATACATAAACATCATATCATCAATACTACTCTTTCTTTTTTCAATGACCCTTTCCATGACATTTACATTAGGACAAACATACCTGTATGGATGATGCCTTTGCTTTCAATGCAGAGTAGAACTCCTCAGTGAATGCCTCTCCCATGAGTGACAAGTCAGTCAGGTTTGGCATAGAACACAGTGCTTGTGCTAGGTGATGTGATGATGCTGGTGTGGGACTCTTGAGATCAAGGCTGAGAGTCTGGACCTGCATTGTTTGACAATACAGTTAAGCAGCGAATCTATACATGCATTTGTTTAATTAACAAGTACTAATTTCTCATTGCGTTCTTATAACTATCACCTAGGATATGTATAACACAGCTCTATTCATATTTACATTCTTAACCTTAAGATAACTAAACAGATTTTGTTTTAAATCAATTCTTGTATATTTAAACATTCAAGTTTCCTTCAGTAGGATGATTAAGTTATTTATTCTTTCATAAAATATCCTATATCTGTTTGCATTGATACGTCCTACTCCTAACACTGAAATAAATAATACCCAGAAATCTGCATTTGTTACTAAAGGCATCGTTTAACAACGTTAAATCTTGGATGAATGGCCCTACGTGTCATCGATGTCTGTGATATGGTGTAATATGAAGCCCCAAAAAAAATTGCGCTTCCAAGTGATCATGAAGTGCCTCAAAAAAGTAAAAATCGTGGAGTGACCGGTTTTACCATACTCGTTTTTCCAAAATAGACTGTAGTGTTATCAAAACTGTAAGGAAAATGCAATATTTGATTTTGATTTCCAATCATAAATATCTTGATAATCTAACAAGCGATCAGGTTGTAAAAGTCATAGGGTTCCTGACTGACCTAAAGGTTTATAATTATAATTGCATCATGCGCTAAATCTAAGATTTTGTTTCAGAATCTGATACAAAGTTACCCAATCCCTTTAACCTAGTGAAGGTATTCCTTACTCTGGTTTCATGTCACAAGAAAGCTAAGTCAAAAGGATGTGGTTATTGTACAGTTTTGGTAACTTCAAGCCTTTATCAAAATTAGAAACAGTCAGATATTGATCAGTGATCAAAATAATATTAATCTAATACACAATGGAATTTCAACTATCTATGCTCTTCTATAGTTTGCTTTCATTCCATTTTTCATGACTATTTAGACATTTAGGGTAAATGGATTATAATTTTTTTTTTAAAGGTATTTGGAATTTAAAAAGACATGTATACATAAACATCATATCATCAATACTACTCTTTTCTTTTTTCAATGACCCTTTCCATGACATTTACATTAGGACAAACATACCTGTATGGATGATGCCTTTGCTTTCAATGCAGAGTAGAACTCCTCAGTGAATGCCTCTCCCATGAGTGACAAGTCAGTCAGGTTTGGCATAGAACACAGTGCTTGTGCTAGGTGATGTGATGATGCTGGTGTGGGACTCTTGAGATCAAGGCTGAGAGTCTGGACCTGCATTGTTTGACAATACAGTTAAGCAGCGAATCTATACATGCATTTGTTTAATTAACAAGTACTAATTTCTCATTGAGTTCTTATAACTATCACCTAGGATATGTATAACACAGCTCTATTCATATTTACATTCTTAACCTTAAGATAACTAAACAGATTTTGTTTTAAATCAATTCTTGTATATTTAAACATTCAAGTTTCCTTCAGTAGGATGATTAAGTTATTTATTCTTTCATAAAATATCCTATATCTGTTTGCATTGATACGTCCTACTCCTAACACTGAAATAAATAATACCCAGAAATCTGCATTTGTTACTAAAGGCATCGTTTAACAACGTTAAATCTTGGATGAATGGCCCTACGTGTCATCGATGTCTGTGATATGGTGTAATATGAAGCCCCAAAAAAAATTGCGCTTCCAAGTGATCATGAAGTGCCTCAAAAAAGTAAAAATCGTGGAGTGACCGGTTTTACCATACTCGTTTTTCCAAAATAGACTGTAGTGTTATCAAAACTGTAAGGAAAATGCAATATTTGATTTTGATTTCCAATCATAAATATCTTGATAATCTAACAAGCGATCAGGTTGTAAAAGTCATAGGGTTCCTGACTGACCTAAAGGTTTATAATTATAATTGCATCATGCGCTAAATCTAAGATTTTGTTTCAGAATCTGATACAAAGTTACCCAATCCCTTTAACCTAGTGAAGGTATTCCTTACTCTGGTTTCATGTCACAAGAAAGCTAAGTCAAAAGGATGTGGTTATTGTACAGTTTTGGTAACTTCAAGCCTTTATCAAAATTAGAAACAGTCAGATATTGATCAGTGATCAAAATAATATTAATCTAATACACAATGGAATTTCAACTATCTATGCTCTTCTATAGTTTGCTTTCATTCCATTTTTCATGACTATTTAGACATTTAGGGTAAATGGATTATAATTTTTTTTTTAAAGGTATTTGGAATTTAAAAAGACATGTATACATAAACATCATATCATCAATACTACTCTTTTCTTTTTTCAATGACCCTTTCCATGACATTTACATTAGGACAAACATACCTGTATGGATGATGCCTTTGCTTTCAATGCAGAGTAGAACTCCTCAGTGAATGCCTCTCCCATGAGTGACAGGTCAGTCAGGTTTGGCATAGAACACAGTGCTTGTGCTAGGTGATGTGATGAGGCTGGTGTGGGACTCTTGAGATCAAGGCTGAGAGTCTGGACCTGCATTGTTTGACAATACAGTTAAGCAGCAAATCTATACATGCATTTGTTTAATTAACAAGTACTAATTTCTCATTGCGTTCTTATAACTATCACCTAGGATATGTATAACACAGCTCTATTCATATTTACATTCTTAACCTTAAGATAACTAAACAGATTTTGTTTTAAATCAATTCTTGTATATTTAAACATTCAAGTTTCCTTCAGTAGGATGATTAAGTTATTTATTCTTTCATAAAATATCCTATATCTGTTTGCATTGATACGTCCTACTCCTAACACTGAAATAAATAATACCCAGAAATCTGCATTTGTTACTAAAGGCATCGTTTAACAACGTTAAATCTTGGATGAATGGCCCTACGTGTCATCGATGTCTGTGATATGGTGTAATATGAAGCCCTAAAAAAAATTGCGCTTCCAAATGATCATGAAGTGCCTCAAAAAAGTAAAAATCGTGGAGTGACCGGTTTTACCATACTCGTTTTTCCAAAATAGACTGTAGTGTTATCAAAACTGTAAGGAAAACGCAATATTTGATTTTGATTTCCAATCATAAATATCTTGATAATCTAACAAGCGATCAGGTTGTAAAAGTCATAGGGTTCCTGACTGACCTAAAGGTTTATAATTATAATTGCATCATGCGCTAAATCTAAGATTTTGTTTCAGAATCTGATACAAAGTTACCCAATCCCTTTAACCTAGTGAAGGTATTCCTTACTCTGGTTTCATGTCACAAGAAAGCTAAGTCAAAAGGATGTGGTTATTGTACAGTTTTGGTAAATTCAAGCCTTTATCAAAATTAGAAACAGTCAGATATTGATCAGTGATCAAAATAATATTAATCTAATACACAATGGAATTTCAACTATCTATGCTCTTCTATAGTTTGCTTTCATTCCATTTTTCATGACTATTTAGACATTTAGGGTAAATGGATTATAATTTTTTTTTTAAAGGTATTTGGAATTTAAAAAGACATGTATACATAAACATCATATCATCAATACTACTCTTTTCTTTTTTCAATGACCCTTTCCATGACATTTACATTAGGACAAACATACCTGTATGGATGATGCCTTTGCTTTCAATGCAGAGTAGAACTCCTCAGTGAATGCCTCTCCCATGAGTGACAGGTCAGTCAGGTTTGGCATAGAACACAGTGCTTGTGCTAGGTGATGTGATGAGGCTGGTGTGGGACTCTTGAGATCAAGGCTGAGAGTCTGGACCTGCATTGTTTGACAATACAGTTAAGCAGCAAATCTATACATGCATTTGTTTAATTAACAAGTACTAATTTCTCATTGCGTTCTTAT